TGAGGGCAGTCAGCGACGTCAGCGCGCGCCGCCAACGTGCACGAAGTGCCACGTTCAAGGCCACACAAGAACTCAGTGTAGAGCTAGATAACAAATTATATTCTTTAAGTCTTGTCTAATTTTATTGCGTTGTTGTGGATCAATTGCGCAGAACGTCGCGCCGGGTTTGGTGAGGTGGCCCATTAACTGATCCGGCCCACTTACTGATCCTTGACGTTATGTACACATGTTCTCACTCGATAACCATGTGTTGCGCAAAAGACAGATGATAGCTTGCAACAACAACATGCACTTGCTCTACAGTATGCCCAGCTGCTTGATATGCCTGCCCCATGCGCTGCAGTCTTGCGCGGCCTCTTGCGCGTGCATGTTCGACTGGGCCCCAGTTTCCATAGGAACTGGTGGGGATCTGAAGCCCAATTGGCCTTGTTGCTCTACACTCAAAACCTCAAACACGCGAGGCGTCACAGCTAGCCGGCTGCATGGTACCACCACCACTACCACCTCCTGCAGTCCGTCTACTGCAACGCTATTGACAACCATATTATCCCGTCTTCGCCCAAGGCGGGGTACACTTGTTACTACGACACTTCCATGTTGTCATTGAAAAACAAAGGTACAATCTAGTGTCTTTGCATCTTTTCAGCATGGTCAAGTTTCGTGCCTGCAGCCAGTACTCTAGTCTGCTCTCCACCAGCCACATGCCGGAGCTTCCCATCTAGCACTGCAGATTCGGGAACATCACGCAGCTCAACTTGGCAGTCGTTGGTGAGCTAGCCACCAACAAGATCAGCCAAAAAAAAAGTGACTAGATAGCTACTATGAATCACGTGCATCGTAGTCCATGTTTGATGCTTACACGAGTCACTCTCTCCATATCAAGTCAGAGTAAGTACACTACTGCGCGCCGCCAGTGAGCCAATCAGAGTCGCCCCACCTCCGAACGGGCCTTCAAATCTCCGACTTGTTTCCACTTTCGACTCATCGCAAGCAACCCCACGTTATACGACTCGACTCAACCCCAATACCAAACCGCTGCACACTCGCAAACATGCCAGGAACACGGGGCCCAGTCCCAGTGCCGCTCGAAACAAAAGGCCAAAACCTCACCCAGGACATCCTCGACCTTCTCGACACAGAGGAGCCCCTCCGCACAGATGAAGACTTCCCCGCAATCTCCCAGGCCGAAATCAAGGCCGCACTCGACAGGCTAGCCAGCAGATCCATGGTCGAATACAAGTCACTAGACTCGGAAAAGGTCGTCCTCACTCCCGAATCCGAGGGCATAGTCGCAGAGGGAAGCCACGAGTTCAAGGTTTGGAAGTTGGTCAAAGAGAGGGGCAGCGTCCCAATCGCTGAACTACCGGTACGTGCAGGATGCACTACGAACTAGCGACATGCAATTGACAAGAGACACAGACCATCTTTGGAAAAGAAGTCGCTAGCGTTGGACAGGGCAATGGCTTCAAGAACAAGTGGATCAAGAAAGACGGAGACAACCTAGTCCTCATACAGACCGAAGAGCCCGCAGACACCACCCGCCAATTACTGCAGGGTATCAAAGACACACAGTCGCTCGACGACTCGAAGCTCCTTGCCCAGCTGAAGAAGAAGAAGCTCGTGACTGTCACCAAGGTCATCACATACACAATCACAAAGGGTCCAAAGTATGCAAAGGAAATTCCCGTAGAGCACACCGACCTGACGGCCGAGCTGCTCACAAACGACGCATGGAAGACTGCAAACTTCAAGCCATACAACTTTGCTGCACTCGGAGCCAACCAAGATGCCGGCGCATTACATCCTCTGAACAAGGTCAGACAGGAGTTCCGCAACATTTTCTTCTCACAAGGCTTCGTCGAGATGCCAACCGGACAGTAAGTTTCTGGGTCTGAATTAAGCGCATGACCAACTGACATTACTAGCTTCGTCGACACAGGCTTCTGGAACTTTGACGCCCTTTTCGTACCACAGCAACATCCTGCGCGCGACATGCAAGACACCTTCTTCGTCTCGTATCCACCAAAAGCCGACAAGCCGCGATTAGACCCTGCAAATGAAGCAACCATGGAACGCATGGAGGCCGGATCAAAACGCCTCTTCTCCACACCAGAGAGCGAGAAGCGAGAAAAGAAGCCACGAGACTTTGAGAAATACTGGCAAGACGTCAAGCAGGTACACCAAGAAGGTGCTTTTGGCTCAATAGGATGTAGGTCGCATGTTTGGTTCAAGACCCTGGAATCTGCATACTGACAATTCCAGACCGATACCCATGGGAAGAAGACGAATCCCTCCGCCTTGTCCTTCGCACACATACCACCGCAGTCTCGACTTGGGCTCTCCACCGTCTTGCAGAAGACCCCCGTCCTGCGCGCTACTTCTCCATCGATCGTGTCTTCCGTAACGAAACCGTCGATGCTACCCACTTGGCCGAGTTCCACCAGATTGAAGGTGTCATTGCCGACTTTGGTCTCACTCTTGGTGGTCTCCAGCGTTTCCTCGAGGACTTCTTCAGCAACATGGGCATCACCAACCTGCGCTTCAAGCCCGCATACAACCCTTACACTGAGCCTTCCATGGAGGTCTTCGGCTACCACACTGGTCTAAAGAAGTGGCTCGAGATTGGCAACTCGGGCATGTTCAGGCCAGAGATGTTGGAACCCATGGGCCTACCCAAGGACATGCGCGTGTACGGATTTGGACTTTCGCTCGAGAGGCCGACCATGATGAAGTATGGCGTCAGTAATATCAGAGAGTTGTTGGGTCACAAGGTTGATTTGAGCTGGATTCGGGAACAGCCGGCTGTGCGCTTTGACAAGGACTAGGGCGTGGATAAGATGAACCTTTTGCTTGATTTGTTACGATAGGACACGGACATGGCCTACGCTACGGAGCTATGGTTTCAGTCTGCCATGGAAATGATATCCAAAAGAGACGCCGAGCGCTCTAAAATGAAAACTAGACTATCCTATACACTTTGATTTGGCTTGGTTGTTGCGTAAAATCAGTACCGCCTTGATGCTGGGATATGTTGTTAGGTGGTAGTCATTCCAAGCTTGTGGCTCTGCATTTGCCTCCGACTTGCCCTGCGCCATGTCTGTTGCTTTCATGTGCGTCGCTTGCTTCTCTTGTGCATTAAGCCCAGCATATGCGACATTCGGTCCTCCAACTTCTCTCAGCGCCCACTCCTCAATCCTTCTCTAAACTCATCCTAACCTCCTCCTCAACCCTCCTATTCCTCGCACCCCTATAAATCCAACTCTCACTTTCCCTTCCCCCACCCCATCTCGCCTTTGCCCAAACCAAGCCATCCTGACCAAGCCCAAACCCCAATCCAACCAGCAAACCCAAGCGTATCGTCCTCGCAGCCGTCGAAACCGGAAACTGATGCCACGCACTCCACACCCCGCCCGTCACCATTCCCGCAAGCGCACTACTAACAAAATCCCTACTCCCACTCACTCCTCTTTCAATCTTCCGTAAGTCCAACTCATCCACACCCTCCATCTCCTTCATCGTCCTCCCGGCCCTCCACGTCCCCCTAAAAACATCCAGACTCTCCTCTACTACAAAGAACACCATACTCCACGCTGCTATATACGTTCCTTTGCGCAGCCCTTCGACAATGCCGTAGCGCCATTTGTAGTAGTTTTTGGATTTGTGGTAGAGATACCAGCCCGGGTTGGAGATGGGGAGGCGGTGCGCGTTTTCGGCCCGGAAACGTAAAGAGGCCATGTGCCCCGCGGAGAGAGAGCCCAGGGTGAAGCCGGAGAGGAAGGAGAGGGTTGTGGTTAGGAGGAGGCGTCGGTCGAAGGGCATGTCGAGGCGGGGGGAGGTGGGGTGGGGGGGTTTGTGAGGGGGTGGGGTTGTTGAGGCGGGTTCTGAGGGCGCTGCGGAGGCCATTATGTGGTGTGTAGTATAGTTTTATGATGCCTACGTGGGCGTGGGTGGTTGTTGGGTTTGCGACTCTAGTGGTGGTGAGGGTTTGCGGTGGATGCGGAGGTGGTGCGGAGGTGATGGGCGGTGCGATTGTAATGCGGAGATTTTTCAGCAGTACGACTGTGTTTCGCTTTACGGTCTGGTGCAATGAAGCGTGAATTGATTGAGCCCAAGAATTGGGCGCTCAATGCGAATGAGGTCAATAAGTGAAAAGGTCAAGGTCAGTTCCGGCGCGCAAAAGTCCGCCAAATTCGATAAAATTGCCAAGACAGTTGCCGCATGACATCGTGTTACGCGTCTCCCTTTGTTCCCCCGCGTCTCCCCTCCACCCCTCCATAACACCACAACACTACTACCTTACCACACCATTCTACAAAACCAGACATTCCAATCTCTCACCCCCAATTCTTTCTTCTATCCAATTCGCCCACCTCACACAAAAAACATGACCACACCAACCCCCCAAACCTGGACCCTCCGTTTAAAATCCCATAAAACAACCGTCCTCCTACACATCGACCCCCTCCACACCTTCGACACCATAAAATCCGCCCTATACGACGCACTGCAGCAAACCGAACTCCGCCACTCAGAAACCGGCGCCGCAATTCCTCTCCCACCCTCACCCTCAGACATCCAGCTGGGCCGCCCACTCAACATCAACGACGCGCAGGAGGGGTTTAAGCTTGGGGAGTGGGAATACAGTGCGATTGATGAGGGAGAGGAGGTAGAAGGGAAGGGCAAGGGGAAAGCGAAAGCGGTAGCGACGGGGGGGAAGGGGGCGGCGAGTGCGAAACAGTGTCCGAAGGGGGCGGGGTTGAAGGATGGGGCTGTATTGGCGTTTCGGTGGGTGGGGGATGGGAGTTGGGAGGGTGAGCAAGAGGAGGATGAGGATGAAGAGGGTGGGGGGAGAAGGGAGGGGGATATGTGGGGGGTTAAGCTTGCGAGTTTTGAGGATGCGTATGGGGTTGAGAATGAAGGGGATGTTGGGGGTGGGAAGGAGTTTGAGGGGTGAATGGTTGGGTGGGTATGGATGGAAATTATGAAGTTGAGGCGCCTGAGATTAGGCCGTGGTTGGCTGGGGAGAGGGCATGAGGTTATATCGAGAAGAAGCAAAAGGGAAAATGCTGATTCGAGCGAGTATCGCCATGCAAGACGTGGGGTAGAAGAATTATTCGGGTGGACAGTGAAGACGACATGGGAGAAGGTTGTACAGCTGTCACTTGTAGGATACCAGAGATAGATGGCGAATAATCTTTCTACTAGAAAAATAGTAGCGATTTTGTAGAAATGCAATTCATACATACCTCTCATCTTTCTCACCCGCTACAAACATAACAACAAAAACGAGACAAAACAACCCACCACTTCCAACCCCCAACCAAAAAAAAATCATCAAATCATGAGGCGACTATATTGATTTTCTTCCAGTTACTAGAAAATAAAAAAAATATCACAAGACAGAAATTGTAAACGTCATTCCACCCGGCGTTAACCAGCCTGACTAAACGGAGATACCCCTAAACGCCAGACTGAACGCCTAAGCTCGGAGCCGAGCACGCTGGTCGGAGAAAGATGAGGATGTCCGAGTTGCGATTTTACAACACAAAGTATGTGATTTTATTGGTTCAATCTACAGGTGAATAGGTTGATTGGAGGTAAGTATGGGAGCAGTATCTTGATAAACTCCGGTGTGTATTAACTATCTTGCTCCATACGGCTTTGCCTGATACTTGTATAAATATAACATGAAGACCCGAGTAAAGAAAAGTCAGTATATCACAGCACCCACCTTCCCTCACCCATTCCATCATCCGATTCAATCGTCAAAAAGGACAAAGAAAATGGCCAAGCACACCCTCGCCATCCTCCCTGCAACAAGCACCCAAGGCCTCTCCCTCGCAACCCACATCCTCTCCACCCCCTCCCTCTCCAACCGCTACACCATCCGCGCCCTCGCTCGCAACACCGCACACTCCTCTCTCCTCCCCCTCTCAGCCCAAGGCGTCGAGATACGCCACGCCGACATGACCAACCCCTCCACCCTCACCACCGCCCTAACCGGGATATCCCACCTCTACTTCATGACCCCCACCACGCCCAACTACCTTCACACCCGGCCTTCCGAAACCCACCAAGTCCGCACCGTCTGCACCGCCGCTCTCGCCGCCGGTGTCCAATATATAGTCTACAGCTCCATGTCGCACCCCATCTCCCTCTCCAGCGGTGCGCTCAAAAACGTAACTCACTTCGACGTCAAAGCCGAGTGCGAACTCTACATTCGCCGGTTACCCCTCAAAAGCGCGTTTGTGGCGCCAGGAAGCTTTATGCAGAATTTGACGGGCATGATGAGGCCGCGCCGCACTTCGGAGACGGAAGCAAAAGAGGAGGGGGAAGAGGGAAAGGGGGTGTACGAAATGCACAACATTCTCCCCCCGGATACTAAAGTACCGTATCTTGATATTACGGAGGTGGGCAAGTGGATTGGAGCGGTTTTTGAGGATCCAGAGGGGTATGAGGGGAGGACGCTTATGGCGGCTGAGGGGTTTTATTCGCCAGAGGAGATCGCGAGGGTTGTGGGCAGGGTTGCGGGCAAGGAAGTGAGGCATGTTAGGGTGGGGGATGAGGTTGCAAAGGGATGGTTTCCCGAGGGGTCTAGGGAGCAGTTGTATGAAATGTATGTGTTGTTTAGGGAGTATGGGTATTTTGGCGAGGGAGGAGAGGAGGAGGTTACGTGGGCGAGGGAGCAGGTCAAGGGCGAGGTGACGGGGTTGGAGGGGTTTTTGAGGAGGATAGAGTATAAGCTTGAGTAACAGGTACTGGAGGCGTTAGGGAATGAGTCAGCGTGTAAAATAATTCTCAGTTTTCAAAAAATGCTACATAGCTTTATTCTCCTCCCTTCGTTCGATATTTGCTCTAAAAAGCCGTCGGTGTCTGCATATACTGCCACCCCCATTTTCATCCATCATACACGTCAAGCTTTGTTCCCAAGCGCCAAAACTCCAGTTATTACGCCATATTGTTTGTACACTCACATAATACATAAACATACGCGACCGTCAGCCATCACTTTTCGCCCACCTACCTAGAATCCAGTGTATCCCTGCTGCATATTCGGATCGATCGGATAACTCCACATTGCCATTGAATCCGGAATGAACAAGGCAGACAAGTCTGCATCTGAACCAGTGCCCAAGTCAAATTGCGTAAAGTCAAAGTTCATGTCGAAAGGAGGCTGTCCGCCAAGACCTATCATATCTGCTGTTGGCTGTGCAGCCATGTTGGGATACCAGTTTGACTGCAAGGCTTGCTGTGAGTGCTGCGCATGAGCTTGCAAAGCCGCTTGAGCCTGTTGCTGGGATCGAGACTGCGCTTGCGTCTGCTGTTGCTGCTGGGTGACATTGTTGCTGCCCATTGCAACTTCGGACAGGAGATGAAGCGGTGTTTGTTTTGCAGGCGATTGGCGGGTAGACGGCTTCGACTCATGGTTCGAGTTTTGCCTGGATTCATACTCCGCATCTGGCAGTTGTTCCTTGTCGGCCCCTGCCTTGATGTGTGCAAATCGTTCCTGAAGGCGTTTGGCAACAAAGTAGAATTTGCCATGCGGAGACTGACTATCACGGGAGACGATGGCGTTGAACATTGAAACCAACTGTTCGGTGTAGGCTTCAATTTGCAGGTCCTCTTTCTTGATGATGCTTCCCACTTCACCAGAACTTGTGACTGACACCCACATCTTCATTAAACAGACGATTGCGTAGATGGCTCGCACACCTGCTCTGATTAGCAACATGCCTCGGGAAAGTCAGGACGACTTACAAAAGATCACAGGCAAAGTCAGAAGAGTATCAAGCTCGATTCCAAGCATTGTATCAAGAATGCCGTGCGTGGCTTTAAGGCAGTCTCCAAGAGCGCCGATATGGGCTGGACCAACAGGTGCATCCTTCTTAGCTCCGGAAGCCGGCGGCGAAGAAATGGCATCCGAGGTGTACGGGGGTTGCAAGTCCGCAGAGCCTTGATTCTGATGCAGAGCAATCTCGTGTAGATAGAGATCTGTGACATGCTCCCCAAGCCGTAGAGTGGCTAAAAATAGTTAGCAACTATGTAGTGGTGAATTCCACGCAACTTACGATCAACGTCACCGAGATTATTATTCTCCTCCTTCAGCCCACTAAGCTCGTTTTCGAATATCTTCAAGGCGTAGATGACTTTGGGATCCGAAATGGCAACTTCGACTGAAGCGTCGTCCATGCGGAACTCGACCGAAATCTTTTCTCCAATATGTGCCAGCTTAACCTGTTGACAGAGCAGCTTGTCTGACGGAAGGGCTTCAGGAGAAGTTTCGAGGATGCGGACGCTCTCAGCCATGTAATTGGTCCAACGCAGGAGGATCGGTCGTCGCAAAACCATGGTAATGCTCATGCAGAGATAGTAGCACACAAGAAATGTTCTTCTGGCCTCAATACTCCCAGAGTCAGGATGGTACCGCTGAAATGGACCAACCGAAAGTTTCATCACATTGGGCGTCGCCTTTCTTCCCAGGCCCAAGTCGAGAGCCATGACAGCTGCGCAATTTACCATCATGTAAAAATTGTGCTGTTCAAAGTGGAGGGGTGGACGGTACCAAAGCACGGCGGCGTGCAATGCCTGGACAATCTCGATTGATTTTTCTCCGTTGCGCCAGATGATGTCGGCAAGTTGGTCCTTGAGAAGTTTGGTCAACTCACGTTGGGTGTCTTGCGAGACGAGTTGCTCTGCACTTCCATGCGAAGAGCCGGCCAAGATGGAAAGAAACAGAAGCGGCTTCTTCTCGCGGACCTCGCGAGCTGTAGTACCTGGAGGAAAAGGCACTGCTGGAAAATGGGGGCAGATCTCATTGACGTAGCGAAGAAAGACGCGCTCTGCAATTTCGGGAGCCATAAGATTGTCAATCAGAGGGTTGATGTGGCCATGGTCGGTATGGATCTTGCTCTTGGCCGGGCGTTTGATTTCGGGGTGCTCTGTAAGATCACGGTGGATAGCATCCATGGCCTCCGGGATTGACTATCATGTTAGTTTGCACTGACAAGACAAGCCGATGTACTCACATCGTGTGTACCGTCCAACCTCCTGCGCTTTCGGTCGGGGCCTCGCTGCATGCTCTGGGCTGGACTGTAGCCAGGGGGAATATCTGGATATCTACCCGCTGGTGGATTAGACCAATCTTGCTCGAGATTTCCCATGCGATAGGAACCCTCAGTGGGCATGGGTGCCATGCTGTGCTGCGGGAAGCCTCCCTGATGCCTAACGTCAGGCACTCCGGCCTTTTGCGCGTGCAGAGTTGCTGTCAACGCGTCAATCTTGCGTTCGAGCTCGGCCACGCGACTGTCTGCCTTTTTCTGGCGCTTGCGTGTCGGCGGCGTAGTGATGCATGGCCGGCCTGCTTTGGCGCATCGTCTGCATGGTAGATCTGGTCGTTCTTGGTCGCATCGCACTTTGAGTCCTCGACACGAATCGCAAGCCCTGGGGCGCTTCAGGTCGGCAGGGGATTTTGCAGAGCCCGGGGTATCGTTAATACTGTTGAAGAGGTCAGCGTGGGGTCAATGCGTGAGGTGTTGTGTTGGTATTCGTCGCTCTGCAGCGCCCGACGACGTGCGCGTCTTCATGGCAAGCGCAAAGCGGACACCGGCAGTCTACAGATAGCTTCGATCGCGTCGTTGGATCTGCAGAGAGCTGTGCCTGAGAAAGTGGTGATGCCGCTGGAGTGGCGGTGCGCTGCATTGTCGCGGCAGGTGGGAAATGGCTTCGGCAACGTACCCATCGTGGTCGCCTTCGTCTTCGTGGTCGTCATCATGGTGGTCTGCATCTGGTGCGGTTGGTGACGTCTGCTCGAGAGCGGGATCAAGTATGCTGCCGAGTGGGGCGGATTGCGACAGCTGCTGGGACTGGGAATGGTGTTGAGCGGTGGGCGAGGGCAGGTAATACGGATGTCCAGAGTTCTGCTGGGGTGCAGACGAGTAGAGCTGCTGCGAGCGCGGGGGCACCGATGAGGCGCTGGCAAAGAGCCTGGGATCTATCTGGCTCTGGTCTGCCATGAGACTGCAGTGCCGTAGACGTGTGGATGAAGGTCGGCGTCGGTGATCGTATAGTACCCGAACTTCCGCGGTCGACTGCGCCGCGGAAAAGGCTGGAGTTGGAGTGCCACGCCGGATGCGCTAGCCGGAATGGGACTAGTCGCGTAGACGAACCAAAATTCAGTGAGAGACGGTACGTAATGTCAGGCAGGACAGGATGAGAGTGTTGAGATGAGTAAGAAGAAGGAACATGTAATAATAGCATGGCAGTAATCATCATTCGGCTACTAGCTACTAGCTACTGGGCTGCAAACACGTAACAGTTCGTACAGTCATCATACATCAAAAGCTCCCTTCTTTCATGCCTTCAACCTGAGCTGACTGGCGGGATAATGGCCACTTCATCGCCCTCGCCAATCTGCTGCTCTGCATCCTCCTCGTTGACGTCTACATACTCCAGGTTGACCGTCAACGCACAGCTGCTCAGCACCTTGTCCTTCATGCCGGGATACCTGTCCTCGAGCAGAGCAAACAGGCCGCCCGCCTTGACCGGCGCAGGCAGGTGTTCGCTCGTCTTGCCCGTGAACGTTGAAGCGGCGGCAAAGTAGAGGATCGAGAAGTGGCCCGCAGGCGCTTTGCCAGGTGCCATGATGCCTATGCAACGTGTTAGGACCCGGTTGCAATAGCTTATCAAACACGCATCAAAGACGAGAGTTTCTATCAGGAATAAACGTGTTCCGCAGTCCGCCGCCGAAGCAACAGTCGGATAATACATGCTATAATTTTTGATACATCATAGAACGGGTGTGTTGTGAGGGAGAGCGACAGGATACATACCTATTGTGTGTTGGGTGTGAAGAAGAGAAGACGGCAAGTGCGGGACAAACATGTGAGTTCGCGCGGCGCTTTAGCGTCGGCGCACTGACCTTTAATGCAGAGCGCGCCTCCGCCGCATTTTTTGGCAGCGGCGACTGACGACATGATTCACACTCGACTCGCCATGTATCCTCGTATGCAGTCGACAGTTGGCAGCGTTTGCTTACGGTGCCAATGGCGTCTCATCAACAAATCTGGGCATTTTGCTCAACCTAACATCCGTCGTGGAATTTATACTATAAAAGTTGGGCAAACGCCTCGGCGGGCGTTGCATGCCACTACCACTGTATGTAGCCATGCCTTCACCTCGATAGAAATAATAAATCATATTCTGACCAGAAACAGCGCTTACAATTACCTTCCATATCCGAAACCTCTTCGCAAAATTTTGACCCTTCCCTTCTACCTCGTCCCAAAAATACTGCCATTCGAGACCATCTCATAAAGTGGCAAGACCAGTATGGAGGACCGACACCAGAAACACTTTCCGCATTTCGAAACTACCCTATGCGCGATGAAGTCTTGAACGGTCTTTCCAAACTCGCCCCTTCTTCAAAGGCCGACGAGGATACGAAGAAAAGCGAATGGGACGGTGCAGAGGAAGCTGAAGAGGACGATCTCATAACTATCGGCTTGTTCTTGAAACCTGGTGACGTGGTTGAACTTTCCCAGGCTGGCCGTGAGCCGGTGCTTGCTGTCTTTGTCCAACAACTAGACACTAGTAGCCAGCTCTTCTCAGTCAACGGCAGATGGACACATTCAAATCTTAAAAAGGTCACTTTCGCTATACAAGGCTGCATCGACCCTTCGCTCGTTGAGCCGCTTGTCCCGTTCCTACCTACAGATCCGACAAAAGCCAATCCTAAAGGCGAAGTCCATGTCCCTAGAGACCTTGCCTCTCCTGTCATAGCCTCTCTGGAACGTTTGACGCAAGAAGCAGAGCACATCTACCGCACAAATGCACCAACACTTGACACAGCCTATACAGTCTTGGCCGACGAAAAGATGACTCGCATGATGACATTGACACAAATCGCCAGGAAACTACTCTCACCCAATGATCCAAAATGGACACCGTCATCGGCTGCACTGCTAGCTGTACGCAAAGCACTCAATCACAACGAGTTCCGTTTTCGATCCGACTCTCGCAGCCACAGACTGACCAATGTCTTTGCTATTCGTCCAAAAGTAGACGTTCAAAATGTTGAAACTGTACATGAATGGATTCGAGAATACCGAGAGTATCTGGCTTTGAATGTCAACACGTCACATAATAACAAGCAGCAGCCTACCAAGGGCGCGGCTTATGTCAAGGACTTCCTCGATAAAGCGCGCAGGATCATCGCAAACAGCAGGAAATACCGTCAGCCAGAACATGGTGGCGTAGGGCCGAGTACTACATCCAAAGAGCCCAAGTCCGCCATAAAGGTCAAATGGGGTGAATCCTTCACGAGTGCTGACCAGCAAATCATCAATTTTTTGCAATCATGGGCACTCAACGATCAGTTTGCAGGCATGGCAGGCCTTCATGCCGCTTGCATTGGCCTGATCTCTGCCACGAATTGCTACGGACCAGGGGTAGTTCGGGATGAGGGAATTGCCGATGAAAGTCTCAGCAACATCAGACGTGCCACTGGATTGCTGTTCTTACAAGAGATTGGTGTAATCTCGCCCCACGAAAACCGCGCGCTCTACGATGAGCAATTGATGCTTCCCACCGTTCGCTTGTCACGCAACATCGAAGTGCTTAAAGACAAGGCAGAGCTCACGCGAAGAAATCCCGACTTCCGTGACTCAATGGCAGACTTACGCCGCGACTGGGGCACAACGACAGTCTACTGTGTTGACGATGTGGGTGCTAAGGAAATTGACGATGGCATTTCTATTGAGCGAGTCGAGGGATCCAATAAGGAAGATAATGAATTCTGGGTTCATGTCCATGTGGCCAATCCAACGGCATTCTTTGACAAAACCCACACACTTTCCGGTCTCGCTGCCCATATTACAGAAACAGTATACACCCCGGAGCGATCTTATCCTATGCTTCCGACTTGGGCGTCCGAAAGACATTTCAGTCTTGCCCGTGATCGCCCTGCCATTACGTTCAGCTCTCGTATCAACAAGCTCGGCATTGTGCTCGAGACAAAGATTCAGCACGGCATTATTCGAAACATGATCAGCCTCACCCCCTCTGAGCTTGCTAAGCTTTTGGGCGATGAGAATACCCTGAGCAGCCAACAATTCACTGTTGGTGGGGAGGTACCCCAAAGTGAGGAGCGGCCGCTTCCAAGCGTATCACCCAGTCAACTAGAGGAGCTCCGTGACCTGTATACTGCTGCAAAAGCACTATGGGAGAGTCGTAGAGCTGCTGGTGGCGTCCGATTCAATTCGAACAACGTGAGCGTCCAGGTCTATGAAAGCGCCACTACGCCTGGTTTGACTTGGCGTCCGCCTTCAATCAGTCGAGCACGTCATATTCAAGGAGACCCTATTATTGACTACAAGAACACCACGCCCAAAGAATTTTTGCCCTCAGACATTGGGCCCAAGAACATAGTCGAGGAGGTGATGATGTTGGCTGGTCAATCAGCAGCAAAATGGTGCGCGGAGCGGCAAATACCTGTCATGTACAGAGGCACAGTCGAACCTCCATCCCAAGAAAACCTGTCCGCAGAAGAACTCCGAGACGTCATAAATGAGCACCACAAAAAGCATGGAGATGTACCTGAACTTCTCGGTATACAGTTGATTCGTGCTTTGGGTAGGGCCATCACACATTATTCTTCATTGCCACACAAGATCATCGGAGTGCCCGGCTATGTCAAGGTCACCAGCCCCCTTCGTCGTTTCAGTGACATGATTGCACATTGGCAGATAGAAGCTGCCGTGCGATACGAAGCGCGGACCGGCAAAAAGTTCAACGCGCTTAACAAGGCTGCTTCATCACAAAACGTGCTGCCCTTCTCTCTCCGGCAGATCCAGGAATCAATTGTCACGCTGACACCTCGAGAGCGCATCATCTCAATAGCCAAGCGAGACGCAACACTCTACTGGGCTTCTCAGGCATTCCTCCGCGCTTTCAAGTACAAGGAAGCGCCGCTTCCCGAAATTTTCAAATTCCAGGTTCGACAAGTTCGAGAAGGTAGAGATGCAGTTGGTCAATTGCCTGAATATGGCTTTGTGGCTACCATGTTACAGTATGAAGGTGTTGAGGTGGGCGACGAGTGGGAGGTGAAGTTAGAGATGGTAGATGTCTTCGCTAGAGTCGTCTTCGTGAAGCCAGTTCGTCTCGTGCACCGCGACGAGAGCGCTGTTGTTTGAGCACAGGCACTATGGCTTGAAGGAGGTGAATCCAAAGAAGGATGATGCAAAGCCCCTTTGCTAGCTTCTGTAATGTGTTTACCGGCGATTTGAGTTGCCAATGATTTTGGTCTCTCGTTGCAAAGGAGGCGCTTTAGTGCGACATTTTGGAGCATGCACCCTCAACATTCTGCTAAATGTCAAATGGATCAGCCTCACGTATTCCGGCAGTCACATGAGCGGACCATGTCATGACGACCTGCAGCGAAAATTTACAAAGTCACGAGAAGGGGCCAACAGTCTTCGAAACCTAGATTCCAGCGACCACCAACACACTTGTATGTAAGCCACATATGCAATGCCGGAGATCGACCCAGTGCGGGAGGTGACGCACTCGTGTCAAGATCGTGGCGCTGTGGTGGCACATGCGCAGATAAACCGAGTTGACTGGCTACGTACATGTGCATGGATAGATTTGAGTGCGAGGACCAAAGTCTCGGGTCGTCGTGAGCGTTTTTCACCGCCGTCGGTGCTCCGATGGTACTTCCATCGTCTTGGCGATATCATTGTACAACGCCGCCACGACGCCATACAGCAGTGGCGTATGCATAATGCAATACAATTGATTTAGACATTGAACCGTTGGTTGAAGATTACTATCTTCATTGGTAGTACCTCCACACTGCAACTGTTTCTACTTGCCAACAAATAAGTGAGGCTAATGATTTTCGTTCACTGAACACAGCATTGAGTCTGGGCCAGATTTCTGGGGGCATATCTGGACGGTAGATGTCCGATAACAATGACTTTTTGAGCAACTGTAATTAACCTGTACAAATTCATCTCATGCTCTTCTCTCTCATAGCTGCCCGTATGCCCGAGGTGAACCAGTTTTCGACCACTTTGAAATTCCCTCTCTTTCCTCGTCCTTGACCATTCCCATAACACCAAACATGAACGTATCTCTTACGTCATGGGAGAAGTGTCATCTGAGCGAGGCTATGCTCTCCAACACCAAACTTCAGGCGAGAACATTATGATACGGAAAAAACAACTGCCACGGCTGCAAAGCCAGCCCCTTTCTTGTACAAAGTGTCGAGAACGGAAGGTGAAGGTTGGTTCTCACTGAACATGCCCCTAGATCTCTCTACAATAGGCTGGACACTTATAGCGCATTCGAATCAAATGGCCCCGTTCTTTGAATAGCTGATAGATGATAGTGTGACCACACGAAACCATGTCCAGCCTATTGTGTTCGTGGTCTTCCCCGTGAATGCCACTTCATAACTGAAGACGGCAATTACACCCCAATTCAGCAAAGTTACGAACTCCGTAAACTTCGGGCCGAGAATGTTCGACTGAAGGAGCGATTTCGCGTACTCGGTATACCAATATATGATAATCAATCTGATCACACCTCACCTCCAGGTTCACACACCGACAATGGGCTTAGCCCAGCGGGAAAACGGCGCTCTATGAAGCAGAACTGATGTCAAGAGTCTGAGTGGCAAGACAGCATATACTTTGGTTCACCCGGAATAGCCACTGTCATCAATGATGTGGGTAGATGTTGTAACCCGTGAGAACTTGGCTAACATTCCTTGAGTTTAGTTCGGTCAACACTGACAACCCGACAACATTGACACACATAATACCACGTCCAGTAGACATATTCACATCGGAAGACACCCCAGCGTATGCATTTGCCACGCTCTTCAGTGCTTCTTCTGGAGAATGTATTCCACAATTGCTCAGTTGTCTCCCCGCAAAACCTGAGTTGTCAGAATACATGGACGTATTTGAACATAGTGTGAGCATGCGTATCCCTGCAGAAGTATCCAGAGTTGAGACAGAGCGTTTTCTATCAGATGCTAAGAGTAACTCTCACTCCTGTCCGAGTATGCTGGCATTGATTCTCGCAGTCATTGCTCTTGGCGCGCAGCACTCGATATGGGGAAAGAACGGCAGCTGCGATGCCGCTAAAATGGAAGTAGAGGCGCAGAGAGGTAACGTCTACAGTAAGTCGGCCAAGACATATAGCTGCTCAGCTCACATTATCTGCAGTTGCCGCATCAATGCAGGCTTTACGATTGGCTTCGTTCATGCACAAGCCGTCTCTGGTGGCCATCCAAACACTCATATTGATCGGAAAGTACTTGGCCAATAGTGGAAGATTCTTAGACGCATTCATACTATTCGGCACTACTATCAGATTGGCTCATTCTATCGGTCTACATTGCAACCCGAAACATCTCACATCCTTCTCCCTAACTGAAGCGGAGGTCGCAACGCGTCAAAAGATTTGGTGGTACATGCTCCGAATCGACGAGGAGTATTCCATGACATTTGGGCGACCACTGGGAATCAGCAGCATTGGCGCTTGTTCCTGGCCCCAGGAACTCATAACAGATCCCAATATGCTGCGGCTCGGAGATTTCATAATGCAATTCACCGTGCTTTCTAGGCAGATTCTGCGCAGCGATCGACTCAATGATTCTCAGGTCGATGAGTTCACAAAAGAGCTTTGCGGTTTGTTGGAGACGATGCCTGAAACACTTCAGTTTGATCTTGCTTGGATTGATGCGGAAAGCACATCGTCACAAAGCCTCTGGTCACTCAGGACCATAGCGACCGGTACGCTGACCAATTTACTTTTGTTGATCCTATCTCATCTATTGGAGAACTACCAGTAGATGGAGCTTTTTATTCACGGCTTGGAATAAAACCAATGACATTCGGCGGAGCCTTTTCATATGCATAGCTTTCGCTGTTATTGGTATCCAGAGAGAAAAATATTATGTTCTCGATATGTTTACTTACAAGAAGCAGTTTTCCATTGCAAAGCCCGTACCTATATCATACTTCTTAAGGGACAGAGAATGCATCAAGGAGCGTTGAATGATCTCCAGGTCAGCAGAGATACTACACTGCATCAGCAAACCGTAAACCATTCTTGTTCAAACGGTTCATCACCCGCGCCGTCGCCGATAGCTTATATTCACGGTCGAGCTATCGTGATAACCTCATCAAAAGACATTCTTTCTGCATTTTGGTTCCTCCATCAGAAAAACCCATCAGCATTGAACTGATGGCGTCTTGAAGGCCAAACAAATTTGATTGATATTCAAAGAACTCGAAGGAAACAGCGTGCATAAACTTGCGAGGATCGCGGTTGAAAAGATTAGTCGAGGCCTCCAGACGCTGCACGACATTGTTGCACAATCACCACACGGCAATAATCAAAGCCACGATCGGCAAGAACACCATACTGCCGGGTATGGAGCTGAGGAAGACGGGGTATCACAAGGATGGACTGGGATTGAAAACGTCATGGGTCATACTGGCATGCAGCTGTTAGAGACCTATGATCTAGGAATACCATCATAAGAGACTTTTACTCTCATAAACTGGGGTATGCCTGATTCGTCAACCAAACACTCAAAAAAATGGAAATCAACAATGGGAGCAGAGTAACATGTCGAAATCAAGACCACATAACGAGGATACTAGGCAAAGCAGCAAATCGCTCGCACAACGCGCCACACCATCAACCAACGATCACACGCAGTAAAAACGTTACACAGCTCTAGCCTCATATGCAGATCACAATCGACTACCCCCCGCAGCCGCTGAAGACGATTGCAGCACAACATACTCATCACTACAAGCCGATCCGTCATCCCCTCCTCAAGAACCGGACACAACACCCTTCTCATCCCCCTTTCCCCAGCACAAAAGTTGGAACAATGAAAAGACAATGCCTTCGTGCTCTGAATACAAGCACCTCACTCCATAGACCATCCCATCTGCATCCTCATATCGTGCAGATACGAGTCTCCCTCGTACAAAGCTACCGATCCGGTGCTACGGCGTTGAGTGATTAGTATGTATATTCCACGGCGACCTAGCACTTCCGCAGATATGAGAGGTGTGTCTTATGGGAAGCAAGAAGCGACCAATTATGCACACAGCATGCATAATTTCGATAAGGCGAAATGCATTGAGTTCGGAGTTTTTTTTTAACAAGATGACAGAATGGATTATCGAGACGAGCGAGGTTGCTTGGAAAAAAAAATTACCACGGACAACACTAAAACACTCTCCATCTACCTCACCAGATACTTTTACCAAAAAAACCGTCATAACTTGCAGCTTTAACCCAATCTATCCCATCAAAACGCCTTGCCCTGAATCGGAAACCCATCCAAATCACTCCCCACCCCCATGACACCACCCTCCCACTCCTCCCCTAGTGGCATAAAATCCAGATTCATCCTTCCTTCCCCCCCACCACCAGCACCACCGCCAGCACTACCCAGCTCGTCACCAAACGCGCTCAGCTCGGGAAAATGCGCGCTGGCGAGCGCTGAAATGGCATCTTGCGCTTCGTACTCTGAGCGGATCCAGCCGGTGTTGTGCCTGGACTGTGATAGGGATGAGGAAGATGCGGTGGTGGAGGGTGTGGAGAGTGTGTGATTGAGATCGGGGCACCAAGGGGGTGGGTCGGAGGAGGATGGCGGGATTAAGATGTAATTATCCGAATGGTGGTGGTCGTCGAAACGAGGAGGAGGAGGTGGTGGTACTTGAGCGGCTTGAAGGGATAAGGAAGGGTGAAGCGGTGGACTTGTTGCTGTGGTGCTAGAACTCATTGTGCGTTTATGTCTTGTTCCCGATGTGTTGGCGCGGGGCCGCGACGTGCTGCCTGAGCTCATTTGACGTTTTTTATGCCAGGGCTGCGTGGTGCGTGAGGTCATGTCTGCGTCGGTATCGACAGTACTGCTTCTGCGGGCGGGGATGAGGCTAGAGGGCGGTTTGTAGATGGAGAAGGAAGTTGCGGACAGGGGATCTGGGCCGCCGCGGAGTTCGACCATTACGGCACGTAGCACGGTGGACATGCGCTCGGCGGGCTGGTAGGTATGTGCCATGTCGGAGAGGGCGGCGGCGAGGCATTCGAGGTATTGCATGTTGTTTGCGCGGGAGACGGGGTCTTTGATGAAGGCTAAGGCTGCGACGAGAGCGGTTGCGGCGGTGCCCTAGAATTCACTAGTTAATATTTGTCCTTTTTTAGAGGAATTGAGTTGTACGGATACGTACGGCATGTTGCATTCCAGTGATGAAGATTTGCTTTGTGTCGAATCGCTGGCGATGCTGCCAGTATATCCTTGCTACTCTGATTGCATGTTTCGTGCATACCGTTCTACTCAGCGTAGAGAAATGGTCGTCGGGTTCGTTTTCGTTGCCTGCCTGGTCCTCGTAGAGCGCGAATGGGCGATGTAGTAAGATCAGACTTGAGTGGTATTGCTGGTGCAGCAGGAAGAAACTAACGGGTGCTGTTGCGATGTTGTTTGGCGTCCATCGAAGCTGCTCGGGTAGTCTGGCGTACCAGCTGCTAAACTCGCGATCTAGTGCTGCCATGCGTATGTACTGGTTTCGATCGATCACAGTTTGTGGATCTGACATGATGGTTTGAGAACGATGGGGATCCATGTTTTCTGTTATTTTACCGGCGAGCTCCATGAGGTCGAGAAGAGCTTCGTAGATCATGGTTTCCGTACTCTTCTCGGGACCAGCGGGGCGACAAGTACCGAGACGCTCGAATTTCTTGGTGAGATGATAGATTTCTAGATCCGCAGACTTCATGGATGTTGGACGACCGAGGAAGAGTGCCCAGTACTTGTCGTAGATCACGCAAGCCCAGAGAGTCATCTGTCGAATCTCAATCTCGCGGGGAGGGAGACCTAGAGAACGTGTGTCGAGGTGGAGACTAAATCAATGTCAGTAATACTTCTAGGTCCCCCACAGAATTTACAAGACATACCCAATGTCGAACGCAAGTCTCACAGCCATGCCGGCATACATCCACCCACTGTTGTCCCTGCCAACACCGCACTCCAAATCTCCCAGTAGTAGCAGTGCAATCACACTGGGTATTCCGCCAGGCCTCTCAAGCTCCTGATCAAGCATATACTTGGCCTCACGATGCAAGGTACTCTCCATGCCAGGCATACTAACCCTCTGGATATCCGGTCTCTCCTTGTTAGCAAAGCGAAATCCCATAGCCAAAACACAGACGTGCAAAAAGCCAGAATAGAACTGCGTGCGACCCGTCTCGCGATCCTCATTGAAAGCATCTTGGTGTAGTACATGAAGGACGGGGTTGTAGAATTGCCAAAACAGATTCATGAGATAGTCATATGTTTCGAGTGGGAGAGAGCGTATAATTCTATCGGCTCGGCGGGCTTGCTCATTGAATTCCTGGGTGATGTTCAAAGGGTTGACAGACTCGGAGTGTACGTGGCAGTTTGTTGTCGGGCCAAAGTATCGAAGACGCCCGTTGAGCTGATCAAATGAGAGATGGCCGCGTGTAGACAAAAGTCGGTTGACCATGCCGTCCTTTTTTGGTGGGGGTAGCATGGGCGGTGAACCCACGCTGTCTGCGTCGCCATTTGAGATATAGGGGCTGAGACCGAAGTCTTGTTGCTCAAAATCTGGGTAGTCTTCCTGAGGACTTTCTTGGCTAACAGAACTAGAGTTATCGTTGTGTGCAGTCGTGTGCTCGGTAACCTTTCGACTTGGCGAGGTGGCTTCTTCCTCGATATTCGGAGCATTATGTCGTGTTTTGGGTGGATGGTTCGCTGGAGGTATTTCCTCGCCCCGCTCCTTCAGCATGGCTTCAAGAAGAGCGACGCGGTCGGTGAGAGAGCACATGTATGCTCTCGAGATCGGTCTATACATTTATTAGCCACTTCTTGAATATTTGATACTGTTGACATACCTTCTCCGCTCATCGTCATTCTTGATCACGCACTCTACACCTGATCGTTTACACTGTGTGCACTCTTTCTCTCCCGGAGGTACCACACACTGTAGCTTGTCAGAAAGGTTCGTATCTAAAAAGGTAGTAACCATACACGAATCCTACGGTCTCGGCACGAGGCACAGGCGATGGATGCTCTGTGACGGGGTTTTGAAGACTTCTCTTTCGAAGATGTCTTCTCAGGCACGTTCTGATCGGCCTTGCTGTCTTTCCTCGACTTGGGTTCTTGTGATTCGGGTTGTTGCTTAGTCACTTTGGGCGTACTCGATATTTTGTTCTCGCCAGCCATTACTTTCTTTAGGGTCAATTTTGGCGTCTGGCGCGTTGGACGCTGCAGATCAGTGTGTAAGAGGAAGAAGGGATGCCACGTATAGTGCGACGAATGTCTTGGGGAGAGACTGTAAGACCCACCACGATGGCAAGACTCGACACTAAATCCAGACTTCGGCCTATACTGAGCGACTGGGCTAAGACTAGACCGAAACCTTTCCCGCCAAATGCTGGGGGAGCAGCGTGCGTCCGCGCCTTGGAGGTGGGGCCCCGCAATTCCATTCTACCGGGCAGCTCTTCTCGACTCGCTCCAGACGGCATTTGCGATAAGGAGTGCCATGCTTGCTCTGAAGTGATATGCTACTAACCAAGTTTGGTCCTGGATTGGTATACCCGTACCGATCCGAACGCTCGGCGCAATGAAGGGAGAGCAAGATGAACCTGAGCTTTCCGGGCGCGGAGGATTCGCTTGTGAGGAGAAGGTTAGTAGGAAGTTATCACTCAACATGCTGCCCGTTGACCGGTAATGAGCCGAACATGCATGCGACCGCCGTAGCCAATCCTAGAGATCTGCTGTAGAGATGCGGTGCATTCATTCCGGGGCAGGAGTCACAGGGGTTTTTGGGTGTGACGCGCATTCAGCTACGTACGTAAAGCCTTGACGTGGTCCTGTTTCCACAACTCTTCCAATGACAGCCCAATACCCTCGTAGCGTGGTGCATTTCTCATGGTACCCCAGAATCTGCGAGTCGTGTTGGAGGAGCTGAGGGTTCAGTCTGACTCGAGATGCGTCGGAGTGAGGGGGTGGATTGGGAATGGGTGTGGCGGAATCTTGGAACTGGTAACCGTCGCGATCTCAAGGTGGAGGCTAGGATGTCAGCATCCGCGCCTACACCTGCTGTATGCGGCTTCGCAAGCAAGCTGTCATCACCACAGGTGGACGTGCATTTAGCTTCTCAGCACAAGTTGTCATGCGCGCTGTCTCTCGAGCCAGACGACGCCGGATGAAACCCCGTATCGGTAGTTTTATGCTACACAGGTCGATGAAATTCGATCGAGGAGCTGCACAATGAACGCCTCGTCGATTGGACCAGAAGACGAAGAAGAAAGCAAACAGCTATTGTGTAGATCTTTCAAACATCTTAGTGAAACATTCCGCTCAGTATAAGTAGACGAAAAAGAACGCCATGTCCATCCAACCGTATGCCGTACCATCAAAGACTGTACACCCAGTGTCCCCTCAATCCACATCCCATTCATGGTCCCAGTTCCTAATGTAGGGGCTGAGCCCATGCAAGTC